GTTTTGTTTTAATCCCGATCTATCGTAGTGGGTTGATCCGAATGTAATTCCAACGATGATTAACTATGAGGAAACAAAAAACAAATGACTATGGATATTATATTGTAGTTATAAGCTTTCAAACATAAAATTGTTTTTTCGTAACTGATTTAGCGGTTTCAATATGTTAAAAAGAAAAAAATAAGGACAAATGGTTAGATTTCAAAGCAGTTTATTGTATGTTCTCAAATGTTAAGTATATTTGAGTTTAAAGAAAAAGAATTTAATGTTTTCTTAGGAAATGGAAACACAATAACACATGTGTATGTGTACTTACATAGATACAAGTGTTGAGTGATGCCAATAACGAGTTTGGCCAACAAACGGTATCATGTCATGTGATTGGTATTCCTCATCTCTCTTTTTCTCTAGCGAACTGTTGGATAATAATTTGTCAAAGACAATAAAAAATCTGTAATTAAAACCATATAAAGTTTTAGACAGCGAACTGAAACTTGTTGTAGGTCTCATATTGTCCGCATAGTTTTAATATCTTAATTGCACATTTGACTTTCCCCATGTGACCATTATACCTTATGCTCATTACAAAGTTAATCATTCAATTTTGAACCGGTAAATAATGTTATAATTATGCAATAATTAACTAATCATCGTTTGATAAGCGGACAATATTTATTTGTTAAATAGGAAATTAAGTTGTATACACAACTATTCATCATTGCGTTAAATCTTGGTGAAGGCGTTTATTATACGAATAAAAAGTGATGTACCTTATTTGTGAGTCAAATTTTCTCCAACTTATATTGAAATATCGTAAAAATGGCGTTCTATTAATGGGCTTTTAAACCCAATCAGATTTGTGTTTTGTGTCCCTAACATCAGTGATTACGACGAAAAGAACACAACTTTGGCAACAGAAATACGCATGGCTAATAATAATACGTATTTCTGCAGATCTATTAAATAAAACAAAGACACTACACTTAAATTATCAAATCATGTTTCCACCTTCATAAAGTTGAAATAATGTTATTTGCAACTCAACTAATGTCGGTGACATAGCATTCCAATCTCACAATAAAATCTAATGACCAAACATGCACTTTCATAGGTTATGCTGCTTACGCGTATTTAGAAGAAAAACAAACAATTCGCATGATTACTCAAATTTATACGAAGTCGTGAGTATGACGATACAAGAAAAAAATAAACAAAAATAGATAACCACATTTGGAAATCTA